CTCTAACTGGCTGCATCAGTAGGAGATATCAAATTATCAATTCTTTCCTATTTATTTCCACATATTCCCTTTCCAGGGAAAAGATGTGAGCTCGGAGAAGAATACAGGAAGATAGCACAGAGGAATCCTGTGGAGACAACAATGTCATGGTAATAGCGTTTCTTAAAAGCATTGCATGTAATATCAATGTCATGTGGAGTAAATGAAAGAGGTATTACCTTTGTCATACTTTTTGCCATCAGCATCCACCTTCACCACCTTAATGATTTCGTCAAAGTGAAATGCATCCATTTCCAGAGGTAAGCTTCGCGAAGAGACAACGTCGTCACAGAAGGAAAAGAATCCAAAAGAGGATCATGATCAATGACAATCATACATGTCTAATGTTTTATCAATTAGGTGAGATAAATTGATTTCTGCAGTAAATAATATTATTGGACATCTCTGATAAAATTGACTAAGCTTTTATCCATTACGTGAGAGATATGTTAACTACTCTCAATATTTTACGAGAAAATAGAAAAAGACAAGAAGTCAGCAACATCCTAAAACTAATACAGGATTTAAAAAATGCCTAAATCAGGATGTGTTTCCGAAAGCACAGGCCAGATCAGTTTTCAAATCACTACAACAGAGTATCTAAAGAGATAATATAATGGATATCAGAAAAGAAAAAGAAAAGAGGGAACACCAAACAAAGAACCTTCTCAATCTTCAGAGAGATTGACATCCAACCTCTCAGCAATTTTCCAAACAGAAACAAACAGCAGACTTTGACCAAGTTTAACAAGTTTTTCTACTTCATCATAAAGCTAAGCCTCTTAAGTTGAGAAATACCCCATCAAGAACTGACCATCACATCAGGTGAAAAAGAAACATAGAATATAGAAACAAGAAAAGGAAAAAAATAGAAAGAACCTGAAAGTTGCAAAGCAAAAAGAGACTGAAGTTATCCAGCACAAGTATCTGTAATATTTAGAAATCTTGTAAACACGCTATAATAACCAGATAAATGAAGATAACTTATAAATGTTTACCCAGATAAGATCAGTACCCAAAGAAGAAAACAATCTAACGATCTTGAAATCCAAACTACCCCATTCTGAAGAAAACATCTATACTATTCCTCTAAACTTAAATAAGCTGCACAAGAACAAGAACTAAGCCAAGGGAAGCCCTTCCAGTTTTTTATTTCTCTAATTCTTACATCAAGTTTTTACAACTTTCCACCTGTCTCAGAAACAAAAAAACATCCTTCTCGGAGAGAAGTTTGCAACTTTTCACCATAATTGTCATCACTAAGTTGCTTGGACTCGGGTGCGGGTGTTCGGCACATGTGCAAATCCAAGGGTCAGATTCGGCAAAATTTAAATTTTATGATACGGGGGTGTGGATCCAGGTATGGATATGGATGTGGATTCGGCTAAAAAATCCAAAATAATAAAATAGAGCTATAAAGATCTTCTAGGTCGTCTTTCCCTTGAACCCAACTTCTTCAATCAAGCTCTCAGGTTCTTCCCCTCAAAAAAGAAAAAGGATGTCATTCAAGACCTTCCACCAACTCTCCTTACAGATCGTTGCTACTGTCTACCAAAAGTCAGAACACGACCGCTTGAATTCTTAGTTTCTATCTGCTTGGCTTGAAACATGAAGCATCGAATGTTGAACAAGAGGAAAAAGCTAAAAAAAGAGACAAAAGGACTATAATATTTGAAGGTATGACATTTCTCATTTCTTAAATCTATTTTATCTTTTATCAAAATATTAATTTTACCCCAAACTTGTCCATGGACTCTGATCAAAGTACCCGATATGGGTTGACCGAACCCCACACATATTCCGCACCCGTCTCATGTCGACACAGGGCGGCAACAAAAATGACGAGTCCACGTAACTTAGATTGTAAATACCTTTACATAACTCGCCCACGTGTTAAACCTGTTCCACGACCTTTTTAATTCCACTGATATGGTAAATCCCAGATTCTTCCCCCCTCCCAAACCCCTACAAGCGGCCCTTTTACCTTTCTCCTGATGAATCGAACCCCCAACCTTATGGTTGGAGCACAGGGTCCGTACCACTAGGCTACCCCTCCCTTGTCATTCCAAAACCTATTCCTGTAAAATCTATAAATCTATAAAAAGCAACTGACCTAACAGCATACCAGTTCAGACCAGCAATTGGCTCAGAACTTATTCATCTCTTGTTTAACCTAACTAAATAAGAAATAAAGGGAAATCAGTAAACTTCCGGTGATCATCCAATATCAAATTCCCAGCATTTAGCGATGAAAAACTTTCAAGTTCAAATTACTATGACTCAGGAAGTTTACTTCTCTATATTAGTTTTAAAAAAGGATGTAACAGAAAGCTTATACACTTCTTCTTATAATTCCGGTGTCCGGGCCAGCTTAGGTACACCTCGATTAATTCCACAATGTATGTGCTGCCTCCACCAATGCAAGGCTTAAACACTTCCTCCAAAAGAGTAGCCACACAAACAAATCGAGAATTGTGATATACTATTTCATAAGATCGTCAAATTAATGATCACAGGTATAAGCTACTCCCTCCATTTCAAATTTTTTAACCTACTTTCTTTTATAGTTCGTTTCAAAAAGAATGACTCTTTCCCTTCTTAACAACTCCTTAATTCCAAATTTTCCACGTGACATGTTTAAGACCACAAGATTAAAACATTTGACATATCTTTAATCCAACACCACAAAATTCAAAAGTCTCATTTAGTTTCTTAAATTCCACGTCAAGTCAAAATAAGACGTACAAATTGAAACGAAGGGAATATTCTTTACAAATTTTAGTAACATTACTAGTTCCCAGGTCCCACCTACGCAAGCTTGACGCATACGTGATTCCCATTATCCTTTTTATAGTATTGTAACAACTAAAGCATTACAAATACACTCTAGTTTAAGAAATTACCGTACTTTCCCTCATTTCTTGAAGAAAATCAACTACAATAAAAAGAATGCTGAACATATACCAAGCATATCTATTTACATTTTAGGTCATGTAAAAAGCCTTCCAACTCATAATAATTGACCTCTAAGGTAACCTCGAACTATACCTTAATTTCTTCTCCCAAGTTCCAAACTTTTTTACCCACTAATAAAAATCAACAACAAGGCCTTAATCTCAAACTAATTAGGTCAGCTATATGGATCCTAAACAATCACCCGTTTCATTCAATGTTGTGACAATTCACAACAAATTAACAAGTTTTTTGCCATGAAAGTAACCAAGAATCATACAAATTTGGACTAGTGATGCTAAAAAAACAATAGATAATCAAGATTCAAGAAAAGTGAAAGAAAAAGAGAGCCAACCTGCTGAATTTCAGAGATAATTAGGTTGATGTAGCAGCGAACCTAAGAAGGAAGGAGGGTTTAAGCATTTGAAGTTTAAGGTGGGTTTTGGCGTTTTGTTTTATGTGATTTTAGTCCCTAAGTTGTAGCTTTATTCTAATTTTGATCCTTTTGGTCCTTAAAACTAACAAAGTTAAACAATTAACCAACGCACTCAATTTTTAAAAAAGAAAATTGGCATAGGATCAAAGTAAGAAGGTGGTCGGCATCTTTCAAAACATTTTCTATTTTTATATAGTTAGTGTTGTTATTTGATTGCAGTTAGCGCGCTCGACTAATAAAAGGTCATGAGTTCAAGCTTTAAAAACAATTTTTTAAATATATATGCAGTAAGATTGTGTATAATAACCTTTCAGCATAAATCATAAAATGCAGGAAATACTGGTGTGATTTAGTCAATCTGAATGGAGGTCGTGAAAATAATTATTCTTGATATTAATTGATAATTTAAAATAAATAGTAGTAAGCAAATTAAGCTATACTAAGGGGGGAGCATGATATACTTCTTAATTTTGCTATTGTAATACTATTAAACTAACGTATGAAATCTAAATAATCAATAATATTTTTAAATATTGAAATTCAATATGTAAATATAAGTTAGATTGATTAACTTACTAGCTCAAACATATTAGCGAAATATTTCTTAAAAAATCTTAATTAAAGTAACAATCATCACATACTACCAAAGGGATATGGTGTAGTAGACGAGATTGTTCCTTTCTTAATTCACGATCACAGTTTCAAGTATTGAATATAAAAAGATAACTAAATAAAGAAACTGATATACCCCCAAATAAGCTCCTATCCGATGAGAATCTATTTAATGAAACTCGAAAAATACTTGACAGAAAGCCTACTCTCGAATGGGCCCCACCTAATGAGAATCTGAATTGATCGATTTTTAATGTGGATACGAGACACCGAAAGAAAAAGGGAAAATTAAGTAAATACCCCATAAAAACAAAATAATTACAAACATATACCTCTTACATTCATACCCCACTAAATAATTACACTATATAACCCCCAACCACCCCTCCAAAAAAAAAAAAAAACTAAATAATTACACTATATACCCCCCTTCCCACCACACAAAAAAAAAAAAAAAAATCGCTTAACTTGTGTGTGTGTATATATATATTACTGTATTGGTTTCATTAAGACTGATAATTTTGATTAACTGATACTAAATCAGTATATATATATTGCATTGATATTATTAAGGTTGAAAATTTCGATTAATTGATATGAAAAATTATCAATCTTAATGAATGGATTATGAGCTATAATTTTTTTATTTTTTTTTAGAGAATGAATATTTCTTAAATTACTTTGAATTAGAGTATGAATATGAAATTATTTTTAATTTTATGGCTCATTTATTAGTTATCCAAGGAAAAAAAAAATCTTTAAGAGAGACCTTTTCGTACTTTCTGTATATATAATATAATAATACCGCACTTGAAGTGGATCTCGAGCCTTACGTTTGTTGTGCCACATGACAACATCACATTGGCTTCGATAATCTGACGTAACTTGCAAGACTTTGTAAGCTTCTCCATTTCCAATCATTCTTACTATTTTTCATCCCAAAAATATACTCAATACTGATCTTATCTCTAAGCCATGGGACAAATTCTTGAAAAAATTCAAGGTAATTAATTTATATGATTATGCTTCTTTAATTCACAAATCATGTAGCTTGCATCTTGTTTGTGATCTATTCTAGCTCAAATTTGTAGTCACAATCGATCTTGGTTACACTGGATGAAGTTGATATTACGATTTATATTTTAATTTTCTGCTTGTTTGGTTACATCGGTTTGTTCTTTGTCAAACCGCTCTGGTATGCAATACTTGAGCCAACGGTTTATCGAAAACAGTATCTCTGCCTCCACGGGGTAAGGGGTATGGTTTATGTACACACTACCCTCTTCAGACCCTACTTGTGGAATTTCACCGCGTGTGTTGTTGTTGTTGACTATTTGTTGCAGGCAAGCAATGGAGAGAAAGACAGATGCGGAAGATAACAGACAAGGTGTTTGATCGTTTCAAAGATGAAACAGGAAAAGCTTATCTCAAGTTTGAAGACCTTTACATTGCTGTTCTACTTGTCTACAAGTAACTCACTGTTTTTTTTTCTTTTAATAATAACTTTTTCAGGCTAATCTTTTGAGTTCACTACATCTAATGTCTTGTGTTGTTGCAGTGATATCAACAAGCATTTGCCTGGTCCTCACTTTGATCCTCCTTCTAAAGAAGAAGTTAGAGCCTTGATGCAGGTACAGATTCAGACGAATTTAGTAGCTTTTGCTTAAACTCACTAACTAAAACGAGCTATGAATTCGGTGGTAAGTTCTGAATATTTCCATAAACTTCAAATTTTGGCTCTGCCTCTGATAGTAATAAACCCAACAATGCATCTTGCATTCCTTCTCTGTTGTTCAGACTCTTCAAAAATGCCATTAGGTGTGTCGGGTCCTCCAAAGTAAGGTGTTTTTGAAAGATTCGACAGGGGTGTGGCATCAATTTTGGAAAGTCCGAGCAACATAGCTAGCAACTTTAATCATGCCATATTATGGTATTAGGGGGATTGTTTCCTTTTTATCACAGTATTATTTATCTTCTTGTTTTTCCTTGGCACAGGAATGTGATATGAATCTTGATGGTGAACTAGATCATGAAGAATTTGTCAAATTTGTGAAAAGATTAACAAAGGATACCTTCATCATTGTGAGTCAGGGACTGATTATTACTTTAGCAGTAGCACCAACAGTTGCTCTGTTAACAAAGAGGACAACAGAAGGAGTCCCTGGTGTTGGGAAAGTAGTGCAAAAAATACCAAATGCTGTTTATGCCTCTTTAGTTACCCTTGCAATTGTCATGTTTCAGAAAGCAGCTGAGGCTAAGGCAATTTGAAATTTGTTTTCTTACAGAACCAAGTTTCTCCTTATGTATTATGTGTATAAGATAACAGACATCTGCTACGCTTGCAAGTTGATCTTTGAGCATCTCATCTCTTGTGATTTTTGCTTATGTAAATCCTAGTAGTAGTGTAATATGCGAGCTCATGTTTTGGTTGGGCAGCTCACAGCTTTCATATTGTGTTTTGCACAATTGGTGATGAGTAGCTTTCTTACCACTAGGAAACATAATACCTGATAGTTCAAATATAAAACTCGCAAAAAAATAATACTTCAAGTGTGTTTTTTGACCATTATCTCTTACGAATGATCAATTTTCAGCCTAAACTGGTGTAATGTTCAGTTGATCTTGACTCTACAAATAGACAAAAAAAAATTTGAGCTCCCCAGAGCAAGATTATTTGCTCCAATGGCTGAAAAATTGTTTTTTTTTACCACTTTTCTGCATTATTTGAAGAGTTCAAGTATGTGCATTGACATAGTAGGTTTGACTTACAGCATGCACCTCTTCATCGCAAACTTGATATAGTAACATGAAAAATGGAGTAACAACATGCTATAATTGGTTGAATTGAAGTAAATTTGTACAAGTATTACCCTCACAGTGTCACGAAGAGAGAGAATTTATTGTTCCCAAACATCCGAAGGGAAAGAAATGGATACGAAAACCATAAATCTCTGAAAGGAGTACGTTGTTACAGATTAGCATAATCAATGAACATCCACACGACAAACATCATACATACAACAGGAAGTTGTTAATGGGAAGAGACGCAGGAATTCACAAGCCATGCTGGCAGATTTGCCATTTACCACTCGAAGGAACCTTTAATATCATCCAAGCTCTCCCCAAGGGAGTGCCTGCCAAAAGAGAAGGAATAAGTAGAAACTAGAGATTCAGATTGCATCCCAAAGGGTAAACAAAGGTGAAAGGAGCTCATTTGATTTGCTTTGAAGTTAATTCAATGAGAAAGGTTGCAGAAAGTAAGACTCGCGTGAATACTATTTGCCATTCTGTGTATAAAAACATTATCCGGTATCAGACATCATATGTTCTAGTTTTTATTTCAACAGAATATAAACAAGAGGAGGGGTAGACAGTAGAAGAAAAAAGGTTTAAAGAAAATTATTTTCAGCGACAAGTTTCATCTGCTTCACTGCTTGTTACCAGTTCAGACACGAGTTGGCACTCTGTAAAAGCGCCTGGTATTAGTACCATCCGCACAAACTTTAAGCCTTCCAACTGACAGTACTTTGAGAGAGAAATGTCAACCAGGCCTATTAAGACTGTTGTAGGCTTGTAGCTTGTAATTAGGTGGGAAGTATATATCAAGGTGTAGTGAACTGATTGCAATATTTTGAAAGGGATGTAAAGATTTGGCAAGTTTGGAAGCTATGCATTAATTTAACTAGGATATGAGATCAACTTCACATAAAAGACTTATTGATCATAGCATCAACATTTTATAGAATGCACTTCATTTGTTTCTTTTTTGTTTATTTTCTTTTTCGTTTTCTTATTCTACTATTAGGCAAGACCAGAAAACCATACTTCGCAAAAAGTGCAAGTAGCATACTTCGCACATATACAGGCTAGAGGATAAAATGAGAGAAGTTTTGAGATGGTTAGGTCGTGCTACGCAGATCTTAGATACTCCAGTCCATATTTATGAAACCATAGTAATTGCAGATGTTAAATAGGGACAAGGTACTTTCTAAAAAGAAAATAGGGACAAGGTAAACCTAAAATCACAAGAAAACAATATTGTAGTGATACAAATGCAATCTCTTGGAAGTTGGAATCCATGCAGATTTAACAGAAAGTAGAGCACAATGGAAAAATAATCTATATAGGCGATATTGACTAGTAGGGATTAATTGATCAAGACTATCATGTTGTACGCTTACGTTAGGTCCAATGCTCAGCTAGGAGTTTGAGATTTGCACACAAATACAAGATACAGAGAACTTCAAAACTTAAATTAGTAAATATTTGACTGAGACAGATCTAAATGGAGCGACATGGATAGTGAGGATTCATATAACCGGCCCCAACTAGTTTAGAATTGAGGCGTTAATAGTTGTTCTGGTTCTCACTCTGAAATTCATGATTTTTCAAGCTGTCACCACAGAATGTGATAGTACTTCTAGGATCAATAACAGGAGACCCCCTCCTCACCCACTTTTCCCTGAAGATAAACTTGATGAACTAAAGTAATCCACGTTCTGCATGGATTATCTAAAAGAACCAGAGCATTCATCAGAAAAAGAGAATCTGAATCCCATTCAACAAATTTGTAGGAATCTCTAGTGCGATTTCCTAGGTCAAAACAGTTGTTTTTTAACAAAATTATCTTCTCAAACCTGAGGAGCTCATCTTACTTTATACTTCTATATGTGTTTGTTAACAAGTTGAAGAAGATAAATGATTAACTATAACTTGGTCATGGAAATGTCTTTTCGCTGGATCAATACAACGTGCAATTCATACTACTGTTAGCCTTTGCTTCGCTGTCTAGGTTAAGTTAATGCTCTGACTATACTAATTGTAAAGCTATTGAGTATACAAATTTCAACATTCACCTTCAAATTCAAGATAAAGATTATCTTTTAAAGAATATACTAACTATAATGCTTATATGCTACAAGCCAAGCAAGCATCAGGAACATGCTTCATGAAAACACTGAAGACGACTGTCTATCATTCTCCACAAATTTGTCCTTATCCCATTTAACCCATCCTACCAATAGAAACCATTTGTAACTTAACCTACTTTTTTTTTTGAAATAGCTTTGTAACTTAACCTACTTGCCCAAAGTGACCTTTAATGCCTCTCTGAAACGTTATGTAGCAACACTAAAACAACATGAGAATAACACTATTCTCAGTTTTTTTACACCCTAGTTTACATTGGTCCACAGAAGCACATTAGAGATTCCATCAGGAAGCCCAAGTGCAAAATGGACTTTAAAAAAAGGTCAAGTAATATGATGGACCCCATACACTGCAGGACTCACTAGCAACTACGAGGCTATGGAAAACTAAAAAATATCTTGAATGTATATACCACCACTAAGGAATTTATAAATCCGAGTCTGCGCATCAGAAGCCATATTAGTTTAAGTCTTAGACAAAACCCATTGAAAGGCCTGAAGAAATGTCACACAGCTTTAAGCATTCTTACTCTGTTGGAAGATTCTGTTTAGTTCATTTTGTTACTTATATTGCTTATCATCAGAGAAAAATGAACAATATTCATACAGATGAGCTCACTAATTTCAGAATTGGTAACAGAGAATCCTTCATTAGTACAACTACCAGACCTCTCAAGCTAATCCTTCATTTTGTTGATCATAATGCACTTAGAACTGTTGGATCACACTAATTACAACCTAACACTACCAGAAATAATAACTGCAAACAAGAGTTGATCCTAATTTCCTTATGCCGGACAAAATGAAGTTGCAGCTGAACCAAATAACAGTGAACTTGGAAAAGAAAGTACGAAATAGAAATAAGCCTCATTGCCAACTCTTAACCAGTCTCATCGAACAATTTCTGCCATTTGTAGTGGCAGCAATACTGAAAAGTCAAAACTCGTGGTGACCACATAGATTTTGATATGTAAATAGAAGTCCTAGTTGTGATTATATCCTCCTCGGAAAGCATATAAAGTTACTTTTGAGTTTTGACAGCACTGCAGATTCCAATTCCATCACCAAATATGACAACCAAAAAAGGGAGATAGATGGCACAAGGTAACAACATACATAATAGGAATGAGTTTCATACGCAAAATATCAAGGAGTTCTACTTTCTCTAACAACTCATACCTCTCAGATTAAATCATCAAATTAACAAAGACAATAGCAACCGTATATTTCATACAATACAAAAGTTATAGGCTTCTTACTTGTGCATGCAGTACTTGTATTCTTGACTCCTTACGGTATCTTTTTCCCCTTCCTCCAACTAATTCAAAACACACCAATACATATACTCAGCATCATGAACATAAAGATAAACATCTCAACATGCCAGGAGAAACATTCAAATATATGTTTTTCTTACAGGATCACTTTGATAAACGCGCTCATAACAAACTGGTGACAAGCATTGTAGAGCACAATTCTCCTTGTCTACTGCTGTAGCAATGCACTTCTGACCCCATAATCCACTTTTTTTCCAAGACAAAAAAAATACACAAAAATTAGCCAAAAAGAAAAATTCCAAGCCTATTGATTTGTTTGGGTATTAAAACCCAGAACACAAAATTCATAGATCTGTGGGTTACTACTACTCTCTCAAAACAAAAATTGTAGAGAAAAAAAGGAATCTTTTACTGGGTCCATTAAAACCCAATTCGCAACATGTAATTAAACTTGAAAGTACCTCTCAATATCTGCATAACATTGGAGTTTCTTTTCTCTGATCTCTTCATCCTGTTTGTATTCGACAACAATCAGAAAAGATCAGAATAAAAGATGAAAGCAACATCAACAACAAGAAAAACATTCATAAAAAAGACTTACAGAGATTGGGCGACGAGACTTAGCAAGTACTGTTGGAGAAGAAGACAGAAAAAGTAGAGAAAAAATTACGAAAAGTACAATTTTTTGGCTATTGTGTATGGAAGCCATAGCAATGATTTGATTAATAACAGCTTGTTCCAGTTCCACTATGAGCTTAGAAATCCAAGATTGATTATTTGTTGATAAATATCAAATTGACCCACATACTCTTGAGTAATGTCATTTTATCCCTCCAAAAGAATTGGAATTTTCTGACTCAACCATGGAAGACCAAGGAGGCAACTAACGCCACCGGTCCAAATTGTTTGGTTTTTTTTATGGGTCAAGTCGGGACATTTTTATTAGTTAATTATAATGTCAATAGTATACATGACGAACAAATATAATTATTTTGACGATCAATTAAAAACATGTAACTTGCCCCGGTTGTTGTTAAACCAATAAAAGGGAATTTTACATAAATCTTATAATGTTAAGAGTTAATTACATCATATACCAATTCTTTTCAAATTACAAAAATCCCTTAAATTTGGTGAAATTCGAATACATCTCAAAATGTCCTGATACATCGTGCCCCGATTTTGGAACATCCCAATACATTGCGTCTCGGTTTCGAATACATCCCTCAACTTGTCTCGATACATCGCGTCATTTCAGATACATCACTCAATGTCCCGATACATCGTGTACATTTCAATGCATCGCGTAAAGTGATGTATCCAACCAATACATCGCATAAAGTAATGTATCCGAGAATAGAAGAGAGTAGAGATTTTTGTAATTTTTTCGAATGATAGAATTTTTTAGAGAATATGGTAAAATAAAGGGAAAATTGTATGAAATAGCAAACTATTAATTCAAATTAAATGTTATAGTCATAGTTTCTTTTATTTGTAATTCGCGGCAAACATTCCATGTTTTTTGTCAACCCATTTATATACCGAAATATACAAATGCAGGACCCATTTGTATACCGAAATATACAAATGCAAAATCCATTTGTATACCAAAATATACAAATGCAGGACCCATTTGTATATCAAAATATATAAATAGACCGAAATATACAAATGCAGGACCCATTTGTATACCGAAATATACAAATGCAAAATCCATGTGTATACCGAAATATACAAATGCAGGACCCATTTGTATACCAAAATATACAAATAGACCCAAATACATATTTTATATATATATATGTATATCGAAATATACAGATTAATAGTCATAGCAAACATAAAGTTTGTTATGAAGCGCAATTATACAAACTATAGTTATAACATACAAATATGATTTTTATGTTTGCTAAACCTAAAATTTACTCTCAAATAAATGGTGTATTTAGGTAATTTTCTCAAAATATATGTTGCAAATGGATTTGGTTGGCAAAATGGTAGCATGTAGTGAACACAAGCCCATTTATGATTATTCTATTGGGCTAGATGCTGAAAAGTACTTGGGCCGGAAGTTAAAAGGGATGAATAACCAACGTTTAAATAGTCCATTAGTCTGTTAAAGGATTTTTTTTTTATTAAAAAAAAAATCCAAGTTGAGGACAACTGTCAAAATATCTACATCATTTTTATGATGGATGAGGTATACCATGTAACAGTACTTCCTCCGTTTAAAAAAAAATGATCTCCTTTTCTTTTTAATCTGTTTCAAAAACAATGACCTCTTTATTTTTTCGGCAACATTTTACTTTCAATTTTTCACGTAACATGTTTAAGACTACAAGATTAAAGGATAATTTTGTACATTGGACATAACTTTAATTTAGGACCACAAGATTCAAAAAACTTATTTATTTTCTTAAATTTCGTGTCAAGTCAAACTAGGTCATTTTTTGTGAAACGGAAGGAATATCTTTTTAATAAAGAAAAAGTAATATTGTAGGTTCCATGTCTTTTCAACCTCTCCCTTTCTCTTCTCACTCCTTCACCCCACCTTGTATTTACCCCTCTCTTTGATATGAAGTACTTTATATTATTATTTTTTAATTTAAATATATTTCATTACATAAATTTAAAATAATACAATAACAAGATTAAAGCAAAAAAAATAAAATAGTAATATATTATAATTAGCATTTCATTATTTCTTAAAATTAATATTTATTTTCCTTACCTTTTTTATAGTTCATAATATTCGTTTGTCAAAAATGAAATAGAGATAAATATATTGATACTAATTTAAATTTGAAGTCAAATAATTACGTACTTAAAAAAGTTAAACTAAGATGCGTGCACTTAACCTCATAAAAAGTTAATTGTTTTAGTTTTAGGATAAACATAAATAGTTATTTAAATTACGTTAATCAATTCTTTTTTTTCCATTTTACTCTCTCCGTCAATTTATTCGATTATTTTTCTCTCGAAATTCAAATTATAAAATGTTTTTTTTTTCATATGCTAACATAATAAGAATTGCAACTTATAGTATTTTTGGTTGAATTGCAACTTAGTGGGAAGGATTATTTATGAACAAACATTATAAGTTGTAGTTCTTATGTTGATATAAAAAATAAAAATATATTTTAAAATATTAATTAAATTTACATTGCTTGATTTCAAGAATAAAAAGATATCATATAAATTGACGGAAGAGTATGTGTATATTTAAGTGTTTATGGAAATTTTTTGATTTTGGGTTACATTAAAATAGTACAAAAACTTATGTAAATATTTGTCAAGATTATTGATGCTCTTTCCATTATATTTCCTTGTGAATATTTGATGAATTTAAGTATATATGAAATTATTGAGAAGAGAAAAAATTAATAATTTATATCCCTTACGTTTTTCGTATTAGTTATTTATTTTTTCTTTTACGGATTCTTTAAGAAATTAATTTACTCCTTAAAAATTGTTTTTGCAATTTTACAATTTTACAATTTTTATTTATATTTTTAAGAATAATTAATTACTAGTGAAATGAAAATAAAAATAAAATTATAGATTAATTTGTTAATTGACAATTAATTTTTAATAATTATTTTTAGTAATGTAAATAATCAATACATGAAAGAAAAATAATATCAAATGTTAAAAGTACGATGAATTAGGCTAAATTTTATATTTTTTTTAAATAAAATTATTTTTAAAAAAAGGAAAAAAAAAAAGAAGAAATGTTGAAAAATTCAAGATTTGAATAAAAGAGAAAAAGCTAAGAAGGAAGAGAGAGAAATGGATTTGGCCCCTTTTTTTGAAAATGGGACCCAATAATCCACTTGGCAAATTCTAAGAAAAGTCTCATACAACTTTTGTCTGCTACATCATATATATTCCTCATCCACCATAAAAATAATTCATCCGTCTCATATTCAGTGGACAATTAATATGAGACGGAGAGAGTAATGAGCAAGGGAAGCAGGAATTAATTGAGATATGGATTACACCCATATTAACCGATACATTTCAGCTCATTATCATGTGGATTAATATGATCTCTCCGTCCACTTATCAATTCAAATTCAATTTAACTCGATCATTTAAGCAAAAGCTTGTCCATGACAAATATATTAATGTTACTGAGAGTATAATTGGTGTGGACAGAAAGTCTTCCAATTGGGTCATGTCAACTAGCGAGTCTACTTTTCTAGAACAAAATATAAATAAAACTACTGTAGTTTGTTATTAAATCATTTTAATTGCTAAAATTTTCATGTTGATGCAGTAACTTTTACTGTCTGCATTTATGTGTACAAAGACTAATTTAAGTTATTGATAAAGTTTCTAGAAAAAAATTAAAGACTGATTTTAAATCATTTCAATTATTGATAAAATTTCCAACAAAGGGATGCATTTGCAATGTGGCTTCGTTGACCTTTTTATTGTTTTACATTTATATTAATAAAATATAATAATTAATAAAAGACTAAGATAAAAAGGTTGGATGGAATTCAAAATTGATAACTTTAACAAGGTATTACTATTAATTAATAATTATAAAATGTGAGAGTGGTTAATGAAGGAGAATAAATAATTTAAATATTATGATGGAGTAGTTGATATTTGGAAAAGTTTGCCTTAAAATAGTTTCATAAAGGAATAAGGTTTTGGCTTTTCATCTACTTTTTTGTCGCATTGTCAATGTCAGTGATCTTCTTGGCATTTATTAGGTAGTATTACCTTCAACCACTTTTAATTATTAGGTTGTGTTTTTCAAAAGTAATTTTGATTAATTTTTAAAGTTAAATTAGACTTAATTAATATTTAATAAAAAATTTAGATATTCAAAAACTATACAAAAAGTAGTATAAATTTCATTTTTTTGCATATTAATATAATGAAAAAAATACATCGTACAATGTTAATCAAAGTTATGATCAATTTACTCTAAAAAAGAAAACTATGACAATTAAAAGTAGACAAAGATAATAATAAATTTTTGTTGCTTTATATTTATTTTTTATTTTTCCTAGTTTCTTAATCGGCTCGTTCTCTATGATGAACACAATTTTTTATTTTTTTCAGTTTGCATGTGTTAAAAGCATTTAGTTAAGTTTGCTTTATATATATCTGCATGTATACTTGTCAAAACGCATTAGACTAAAATATGCACAATATTTCTATATGAATGGATAGCTCGGTGCATTAAGCTTTCGTTATGTATGAAGTGTTTCAGGAAAAGAGAGGACTATAAGGGTTTAGTGTACGCAACCTTATCCTACTCTTTTTGTAAGGGTGTTGTTTTTACATTTCAAAGTCATGACTTCCTAATCACATAATAAAACTTTTATTATATATGAATAGTGTAATTTTTTATCGTACAAGATTCGGCCCAGACCTAGCTCCACCCTGATGGTGATCTAGCTTAATTAGGGACCCTTTCACTGTCTATGTGGTTAGATGTTAGCTAGGCCTCTTGTGTTAAGGAAATAATATCAGCTAGGCCCTATTATATTGGTCTAGTGATGGAAGTAAATAAACTTGGACCTCTATATAAATTTTGGATTTAATTTGATCTTTTATCTTTAAGAATTTAACTTTCATATACCGATAATATAATAATTAAAATACTATTATAAAAGATTAATTGTATGTATATATATAATTCACAAAAATTAGGATTAGTAAATTGAAAAACTTAAGGATGTGCTTAGTATGAACTATGAAGAGTGTATTTAACGCAAGT